GAAATTCTTCCTATAACCCAAAACAGGTTAGAATCCGTGACTCGTGGCATTAGAGAGATTATTATTAACAAATATTTAGACTACCAAAGAAAAAATATCATATTATTGTTTTGACAGTACTCGTAGTACGTACGTACTAAATACTCGTAGAATTTTCCGATACATTGTAGAAAAGTCGAATATTAGGTTACGATAAATGCATCTGACCGCATTAGTGATTATTGTCATGAGCATATTTTTACGTTTTTATTAGTAATTTATTTCTTACATTATATTATCGGTAATCAGATAACACTATCAATATGTAGTGTGGACTGAACCTAAGCGCCGTCATGCTAGGCGCCATTTTATCTTGCACAAGGTTGATGCCTCCGCCGAGTTTCTCCAGTGCCGTTATTAGTACTAATCATTGATAATGTCTCTACCATATTTTCTTACTAAATGACATGATCTATGCGAGTAACTTAAAACAAGGATTTTGATGTACAAGAAAATGTGTCCATTACTTACTTTTTATTAATTATTTTTAGGTTAAACTATGGGTAGGGGAAGACAAAAAACATGAATTCACTAAAAAAATGATATGGTCAGAATGAAAGTAAATTAGGAAACGATTACGAATAGAGATAAATAGAAGAGAAAAATATATTACGCCAACCCCAAATAATTGGGACAAGGGCAGAAAGGTAATGATTACACTTGCTATTGTAAGTTTAAAGCTGTAAACCGTAAACCGCGTGGTCTCGACATAGAAATGCCAGGACCACACGGTTTACCCCACCCCCCTCCCTTTCCTATAAATGTCGTAATAGATGACTAAAGTAATTTAATTTAATGATGGCCAAATGGGCCGCAGTGTCCCTCTTAAAACATCACCAAAGCCTTATTGCGATTGCCAACCCGCCAGTCAAGCATGGCAACTACTAGCAAAACCCCTCTAGACGAAGGCCTAAGTTCAAGAGTGAATAGTTAACAATTGATATAGTGATGATTGTAAATCTAATACAAATCTATTCAGCCATTTGAGTGTGACTGAGGAATAAACAGTGGACGGGGGGAAAGGGCTTGTTAGTAATGGGGTCTAATAGCCCCATTACTGGCAATATACCGTCTCAGGTTGACCTCCACGCAGTTCCCCCTGGAAACTATCATGTTTAATTCTTGTCGAATTCATCATGGTGGGCCAACTAACCTGCATTCATTCTCACCTATCATCTTCCACTAGTGCCTCGTCGGTGCATACCAATAGCGCGGGTGGGGTTACCAATCCATTTTCACCCATAAAAAATAAACAGTGGACGGATAATGGCTGAGATGAGGACAATATTGAAGAATAAACATCCAATATTTAGTAGAATAAATTAAAATAACCTTTATTTACACGTAATTTGCAAGTACTAAATATATATTTATGTACATTAAAATTTTGAAGGAGAAATAATTATTAAATTGAATATTAATAATCAAGTAAAGTGGGTTTCTCGGTTGAAATTTTTACGATTATATTCATGTTATAAAGTCATTCTTTGGGTCTGCTTTACTAAATTGACTATTTTAATAATGTTGTTATACTTTATGTTGTTTTCATTTTATTATTACAAATTAAGCTGACAGTGTCTTAACAAAATTTATTACTATTATTATTTTTCATATAAAAAAACCAATCGATTGTATAATTACGCAAATGTGAAAAGTTATAGCTGAACATATGGTAAATGTAATTTTACTATCTATTGATTGAATGAGGCTGTTATGTTCTCCTAAAAATAAATAAAAGAATAATATTTTTTTATACAACTTAGAATGGCAAACAAGCTGACGGCCCACCTGATGGAAAGTGGTAACCGTCGCCTATAGACATGAGCAGTACCATGGACATAACAGAGTATATTGTTTCACCCATGATACCCCCCATGCGTTGAAAAAATTAAAACATAATTTTAAAGATTATTGATTTAATGTGTAAAATATAGCTAAGTTTTTCACCGCCACTACTTAATAATCTATAAACATAGATAAGATATTACTATATAACACTACTTGTGTGGATTCTTGTAATACATATCTAATCAATATATAAATTAATTATCTAATAGATCTATAACATTAGGATAAACATTTATAAATGAAAAAGTTACGAATAAAATGCTTATTTCCTCGATATTTACATAAACGTCTATATTACATTAATTTATTTTTTTTGTCTCAAAACCAGTAGCAAGATTTAATACGCTGAATAAGGGTCGATGACCTGTACGAGGCTTTAATTTATGATACGCGACGTTATTCGGCAAACCATAACAACATACATATATCTATATTACATTGTAAATGCATGAACATGCAATAAAGACATAATGATTTATTTTAATTTAACTAAACGGATCGTAAGAAGTTTGCATCGATCACAAATTATAGCTAGTTTATTACAAACATTAACAGAATACTGATAAAAATATTAAAACCTGCTAATCCATAACGATCGATAGGAAACCTACAAGATCTTAACAAGAAGGGATTTAAATTACGTAGTATTCAACCGACGTCTCGGCTACAGCCTCAATGAGACTACGCAAGTGATAAATGCCCCTTTCATTACCTGTCAGGATAGACATGAAAGAACTAAATGCTAATTACAGAACCGTGATAGATACTTGGAAATATCGGGATCAGGGACCTATACTAGATGAGCGTGTATGTTAAATTCCCATAAAAGGTTACACACTTGCGTGCAAACGTGGGTGTAAGGTGAAGATCTAGCTTAATTAAGAAGGCCCCTACTGCAATCCTGCATTTGCATTAAACATTGCATTTGCTTATAAGACGTATACTTAATTTATTGTAGTAGTTTTAGAGCTCGCACAATTTGATATATTAGGTTAAAGTAAAAGAGTAAGTAAATAATGAGCTTTAAATTGAAAGAGTTTCTCTGTTACTTATTTTAATTGAAAATAAGAAGCATTTAAAGGGACCTCAGTTTTAATCTAATAAAAATAATTGTTTATTAAAATCAACTTAAAAAAGAAACTAATTATAATAATGTAAATATATATATATAATAAACTAGTAATAATAACCAGAGGGAGACTTTGTACAAAAGTCGATTGCTTGGGTACCTCTGTCCCACTCGTGTTTCAACCGTGAAGCAGTTGTGTTTGCATGGCTGTGTTTCGGTTTGAAGGGTGGGATATGGCGTGAATTTACTGGGTACAGAGGAATAACACCTGAGTCCTCAGGAATGGCACCGCATGGGGAGTATCATTGGCGAAACAGTATACTCTGTTATGTCCATGGTACTGCTCATGTCTATAGGCGACGGTTACCACTTTCCATCAAGTGGGCCGTCAGCTTGTTTGCCATTCTAAGTTGTATAAAAAAAAAAAATATTTAACATGTATAATTTTGTCTATATTTTCTTTGAATTTTAATAAAATACCTCTTACTATTATGCATCTTAAAAATGTAACTAAATGAGCATGCAAATTATTTGCTGTCTATTTATATAGTATAATCAACAAAATAATAAATCATACTGAAAAAGTTTAGTAATTATGTTATATATAATATTTTTTATAAATAATATCCTATTAATATAATAAATGCGAAGATTTGTAACGATGGAGGTAAGAATGGATGTTTGTTACCCTTTCACGTAAAAACTACTGAATAAATTTGAATTAAATTTTGGTACACGATTAAATTATATCCTGACTTAGCATATAGAATACTTTATATACTAATTTACGCGGGTAGAGCTGCGGGATATAACTAATAAAAAATATAATGGCATCTTAATAAACATGTCGTATATTCTTACATACAAGAATACTGGGATTGTCTGTTCAGCATCAATTTATTCGCCATAAAAATTATAATTAAGCGCAATTTTTCACCATATAACCATGTACTAAATTCTAGTTACGCCATGTTTCGCTTCAATACAAGAATCCACTGGTTGTTGATAGAAAAGTGGATCTTTATTAGATGGTGAAAGGCGTCGATGTACTTGTAACTTACCATTATAGCTGTCTAAGTGCCAAGCCAGAAACATTTGTTGAAATTTATGCTTGTTTGAGCAGGGTGACCGAAGCCCCAGTCTAGTAGGTGCTTGTAACTGCCTGCGTTTAGATAAACTTATGTAGCTGACTAGAAAATATTGACTACAGGTCTATCTATATATGTAAATGTAAATATACATTTGCACCTGCTGTATTAGAAACTTAGAGTTACATGATGCATTAATGTAATAATTTATTTCTAACATGCAAACAGAATTATCAAAATCAGCTCAAAATTGGCAAAAATAAAAGTAATATTCACACAAAGCATATCGAGTTGAAACTATCCTATATTTTGATTTTCATAAATGCATCCACATTGGTAGAACTTTGTGTAACTCTTCAAGGCGGTAATATGTAGACAAGAAGCTAGCTTGTTGGTGTTTTTTGGTGGTGATAATCTAATTCTGGATGTCTAAGTTCCTAACTAAACATCACAATAAATACTGTAGACTCCTAATATATTACCATTTTTGGAGACTAAGTGCGCTCCTTGAGTATATAGAGCTCCTACGTAAAAAGTTCTTATCTTGTCTCGAGGTACTGACTGGCTTTCCTTCTCGTAACAATTCACAAAGGGCTTTTCGAACAATATACTACATATTCTGTGATATCCATGCTGCTATGGATAACATACAAATAGGCATAGATGTATAGACAACGATTATTACATTTTATTTGTAGCGTCTGCTTATTTACCATTTCTAATTACAAAACAAATCCTATTTGGCCATACTAATGTTTGCAAGAAAATGTTGAAACTATTTTATATTTGTTAGGAACTATCTAATGACACATTACTAACAAGTATTTAATATTACTTTCAGTACTTACTTAAAATATGGGAAACGGAAGGGAAAAGTAACTAAGAGTGCATTCCACTTGCAACAGCCTAGTTTATTAACATATACCTAATGGACATGTTAAATAAGAACATGTAAATTGGTTTTAAAATATTTATTTATGTACAAAGATTACAAATACATAATGTAGAAAACTTAACAAGATTATGTATTATAATGGCACAAAATTTATAAATGTGTAGTATTTAAAAATGGTTACAAATACGAGGACTTTGTCAAGTTTATCTAACTAACAGTTTTATATAAGTAAATTTAAGTTTTTATAGATTGATTGACTCTTTATTGTTTCCTTCAAAAGGTTACAGCAGTAAATTTATTACAAATAATACAAACAATTTCATGTTTTTAGTACTTTTTTCTACTTCCCTATAAATTAATAAAACCAAATATCCTTATGGAGTCTTTGATGATACGTGCCTTTTTCAGCAAACCGCAGGTGCAGTCATGCACAATTAATAAATAAAAAAGTTTGCAGTATATTTTTAAACACGACATCATATGTATACTTATTATATTTCATTAACAGACTATTATTAATTAAGGCCTCCAATTTACAATAATCTATTTAGGGCAATCTTATCTCTTTAAAGAGATACTTCATAAATGACTTTTAAACATTTTTAAATTTAATTGTAAAAAAAGTTTTATTATATCACATTTTATAATTTTATTCAAAAAGAAATTTTTATACATAAATATTATGATAATATTTAAGTTCTACTCTTTATCTGACACAAATCAATTGTCAAGTAAACTACTCATCGTGACAATTCAAATGAAAAAAAAATCAAACTTGACTTTACAGAAACTTTGTAATAAAAATAATTTAAAATAAACAAATAAATTAAACGGAAAGTTTTGTAATCAATCTTTCTTTATGGTATACAGTAACATCAGTATAAAAATCGACTAACTACCATTTGATCAACAACTAAACGTGACAAAATAAGAAATATCTTAAAATTTCGCCAACTTATTTCATATTACTTGAATTTATAGTACACTTAATATGTACAGTTAATTTAAGTACGAGTGCCTCATTAATCGTTCATCATTAATCATACGTCATACATTTTTCAAGATCGATCTTAGTTTAAATTAGCTATGGATATACAAAAGTCGAACAGATATATGTATCTTTTATTGAAACTTTTATAGAAACTTAATAAAAAAACACTACTTTCTGTTATTACATAAAAATATTAGGAAATTGAACACACTTTAGATATATTTTGTTTCTTGAAAAAAGCAACCAAATATAACATATATGTTATATACTTTTCAAATATTTATATATACTAGAAAATCTACAATATAATAAAACCTGAAGATAAAAGAACTTGAATAATTAATCTACTTATAACTATATATCACCACAATGACATTCTACTACACTTTTATCTTCTTAACGAATCTTTGTGAAAAAAAAGATAAGTACTTATAAAAAATCAGTCTATAATTTAAATCGTCATTGTTTTGTGAATGCTAAAAGTAATAACTACTACAACTAGAAGTATCAAAAATTATTACAAGTACTTAACCATCTTCAGTCGCACTATTTACGCATTGACAAAAAAAAATTGCATTGCACTGCGACGCCATTTTGAAAGAGTAAAGGATAAAATAATGGTACACTACAAATTATAAACAAAAACTTTCTTAAAAATAATCATTTCAAAACAAAAACATTAGGCGAATAAAAACGTCATTGATAATACAATCTGTAAACACAATCCAGCAACCTGCCTACAAGACAATATTTAGACACCACAAACTCTTTCCCCTTTTAGACCATTTCTGCCTGCTCATATCTCATCATGCATCAAATGTAAGTAAGAACACCTTACTGATGCTATAAAAAAAAAATGAAAACTCCACCACGGAGTAAACAAACGGATCCAAAACTTGTACGAAAACGCATCATATGCTGAGTGATGGCCGTTTCTTCCTCACACTCTTATTGCTTAGTCCAAGAATTGAGCCGATTACCTGGGTGGCAAACAAATAAAGATAAATAAATAAACAAATAAATAAATCACATTACAAAATTATGATAATTATAATTAACACAAAATAATTAAGCTAAAACAGTGATAAATATCACTATAGAATTGACCATAACTGCAGTCAGAGTGAAATAATGAAATGCTGCGTCGTTAAATACAGGTTTGGCTAACCATTCAGTCTACCAGGATAACATAAATTATTCACAGTTAAAATCCGCTCATTTACTAATAGCCGCATCATGGATATTAGATTCTTACTATAATTAACAGTGAGCCTTTTACCTTCGAGACAGAGTAAGCGGCTAGTTTCCGTCGAGGTGTTGGTAACAGCAGTGCTATAGCGCGCGCCTCACGGAGCAATGCTTGAAAAGCGAGCGCCGCACCTGCGGACGATTCAGCCGCAGACACCTCATAGAATTGACATCCGAACCGTAGCGATAATTCCTGGCCCTCTTCTGCTTTGACAACTCTATGTAAAGAAATTAAAATCGTTTAATTATAGGAATATTTTTCACTTACACATGTCGGAGAAACTAAACGTTTCTCTTTAAAAATAATTTTAAAACACACTTTATCCATATTTTAAATCTGGTTTCTTATATACAAAGTGTACAGAAAGGTGACGTACTGACGTACATATTCAATCTAATATTGACTAAGACTCGAACTTATGATCTAATACTGCTATAAGCAGAGGTTATCTCTTTATTCTACCTCTTTTTAATATATACTATTATTCGTTTTAAAATTTATATTATCTATTTTATTATATTCGTATTGTATTATAGTTTCTTACCAGTAAGCATTAAATAATGTTCTCTGACAATTGCAATAAGTTTAGTATCTACCTTGCATGCTCTAAGTCCCTTTTATTTCCCAGCAATGTGACGGCGGTACAGCCTGGCAACCTGGTCCTCTCCAGTAGAGCAAGCAGCTCAGCGGCAGCGGCAAATGACCTCCGGTCACACACTGAATACACGATAGCAAATGCATCGCCCCATCGTAGATGTTCCGCTAGGCAACCGCGTTTCTATAGAACATACGAATTATTACTATACATTTAAGATATAAACCGGCTTAAACCGGAGATGTCGTAAAATGAATAATGATGTTATGACGGTTTCTATTTAATTTCTCGAACTTAGATGAAATCGAACATTAACTTTTAATTCTTTAAACTTTTCTTTACAGACAAATTCGACACGGGACCTTAGTGAAAAAAGATTTTTGTAAAAGGTCAGTAACGCATCGGCAACTCTTGTCGTGCTAATATAGATGGGCTACATTAAAAGTTTATATAACATTCGGTGAACTGCATGCTTGAGTGTCTCTCTTCCAAACTCATATTTTTAATTAAAAAAATCTATCATTTTACTAATCATAAGTGGCTACAATAATGTATTTTACAATTTAGAATAATTTCTTATCCATTCATATATCTATTTATAAAAGCTCATCGGCGTCCAGATCAAGACAATGACATATCTATTATAGAAATCGAATTCAGTCAACGGAAAATGAGAATTAGTTATTACTATCCTGTTTTTCTTACATGAATATTACAATTTGCACCACTACAATGTGAATAGACTGTTTATGAATCTATGAGATTATCTCTGACCTTATCGTCATATCCCACTGGATGATATGATAGGTAATCGACCCATATAGCAAAAACTCGAGAAAATATGAAATAATCACATCAATCAAAATTGTACTTACTGCACATCCGCATGTATCCAAAACTTCTACTTCTGATGTGACTCCATCGAATGCCACCCGATGTTGATACCGGAAATCTAGAAAAACAATAATTTGACGTGATTTGGAGTGCAGTGATAGCCACGTTGCTTCTCGGCAACAAGATTTCAAATTTTATTCTCAGTCAGACCTATTTAACAAACGAACTTTTGTAATTGACTTAGAATTAAATAGTCTGGATTCTGCCATAAGGTACTATTAATAAACGACTCAATTATTCATTGTCTGGTTGCTCAAGATAGAATATCCTAACTTATGAACCAGGTAAATAAAATAATTAAATTAACATTCCTAAAAAAATAATTCTATAGTCATAAAACCTATTCTGTCTTCTCTCTTCTCATACTCATAGATAAGGTTAAAAAGACCGAAATTTTTCAATAATCATAATAATTTGTCAACAATTTGAATGGATACAACCGATTCAGTATTCAATACAATTATAATCAATAAATATAATGCATCGATTAGACCTCGTTCATATCAACTTTCAAAGATACTATGTCACTCACACGCTTCTAGGTTACCTCTACGATCAATATGTCACCATCTTATTGACATTTAATAAGTTTATCGTTCTAATATTTATTTATCGATTACTTTAGGCCATTCAGATTTAATATATCATAATTACTATTATATGTAAATGATTAAATTTTTGGTCGGTTGAAATTAAACAGCATAAACAGCTAAAACTCCGAAGTTCTGCATTTGTAAATTAAAAGAGAAGCATTTTTTTTAAATATTGAAAGTTTATTTCTGTATACCACAAAAAGGTTATGAATTATTTGACTGACACGTTAGGTACGTGTTATATATTTTTACTATTTTTATAATTATTATTTATTAATTTATTGATATTTTTATATAAAAATATCAATAAATTTACCTTTCTTAATTTATAATATTAATTTGTATGGATGTTAACATTAAATCAAAAGTCATCGATTACTGGTTTGCACGATTTTTATAAAACATTAATACAAATCCAGTAATTATTGCTCGATAAATAAATAGTAAAAATCTATATAAAGAAAGTAGAATAAATTGTCAAGTATAAATATTTTTCAATAGCAGTATTATTTTTAGTAGTATCCTAGTAAGTAACATTTTATTCAACAGCTTCTAAAATATAAAGTGGATCACTATACCAACAAACATCTACTTGTACTCGTATTATTCAGTTGTTGTTCATTTAGTGGATGTTACAAACAAGTTCGATACAGAACAGATGTGGATGCGCTGTTTATAGCGTCGAGCCAGTGACTCAATGTTTTCAAATGCTTACCAATAATGAAAACTGAAAACGATTGCAAGTATATCACAGTGTAACAGTAAATTAGCCATGTCTTTACGTTAAAAGTTTTATGTAAATATACATAATGACTGTTAAGCTATAACAGATGTTTGATACTTTGACATTTGTTAATATTTATAGCGTACGTTTGTTTGTTTATCTAGTTAGGTACGTGTTTTTTTTTTTGCACTGGTTCTACAAGAATACTATTTATTACGTGCAAATTGTTTCATAGTTTAGTTTTTTTTTTTTAATATTAAAATAAAACTATAAGTTTAAGATAATATCTATGAAAGACATTACATTTACTGACGTATGTAAGTGTGGAGAATGAAAACATTGTAGATTTAAAATAGTACCTACAGAAAATATAGATTCTGCTGCAAAATATATTATTTAACCAACCTAACTCTGAACCTACCATTATCCAAAACATTTCTATGTAAAAATGTTTTCCTCAATTAGTCGACCCGAATTTATGGCAAAAAAATGGGATTAAAACATTACAAGTAGTTTCTTCGAAGCAATATTTCTTCTATTTTCAGTATACCCTAATAGCACGACTGTGCAAAACAAAATGATAAAACAAGTAGAGATGATATTAGGTTAAGAGCTATTTATACTAAGTTGACGGATAAATATTAATATCTTTATAAAATTTCATAATTATAGATAGATTTATATTTTATAATTTCTAATTGTGCGTTTACAAACTGACTTCATGCAAATCACCAAGCTATATTAATTGACCAGGATAAAAAATAGGGTATGTTGTTCATCAATACACGGCTACATATACGAGGTTTCACTACAATTAGTTGACCTAATTAGGCACCATGAAATAACTTGTTTCTACCTTTATTTATTAGTAAAAACCAACTAAAGCCTATGCCACATCCATTACCATTTACAGTATTATTTTATTCTGTTTTCACATGCATATGCTATCAAAGGTCGACGTCCGCGAATCACCGGCTCCGGCGCCGCGGGCCAGCCTTGGCTTCCTCTTAGCTTGCCAATATCGAAATAAACCGAATATTGGCACTCAACACTTGGCATTTGATAGGCCCTCACAAAGGGCTTTACAAGTATTTTTGTATTGTGTATGTGTTTTAATCATGTATTTTAATATTTAGAAATTAATATTCTTGCATATTTTATTATCGAGATACTAACAATTAATTTTGCATTAGTTTCAGTAAACTTTTTTCAAGCAAAATGAACAAAAAAACTCCTTTATTAGTGTCAAAGCCTTGCTGTATAGTCCCGACATAAAATAGGCCACCCCTTTTTTTCCCATGGCTGTCGTAAAAGGCGACTAAGGGAGAACGAAAGCTGGGTAGCAGTGTCTCTCTTAAAACATTTCCAAAAGCCTAACTATGGTTGCCAATCCGCTGCCAAGCGTGGCAACTACAAGCATGACACTCTTATGAGGAAGGCCTATTTTCAGCAGTGAACAGTTAACGACATCATTTAATGATAATGATTCGTATCAAAAAGTACATATAAATTTTAAATTGTAAAAATGGTAACAAACATATGGTAATCCAGACTAAAGCCTAACGTTACCTTAACGAAATATTATTATTAAGATCATCGTTATCAATCGTTAACTGTCTACTGCTAAACGTAAGCCTCTCCTTTGGAGGATTGCCTTTAAACTTAACAGGCGGATTGGCAACCACAGTTAGGCTTTAGTGACGTTATAAAAGGGACGCTACTGCTCATCCCTCGCTGTCCCTTAGTCGTCTTTTACAACACCCACGGGAAAAGTATGGGTGGCCCATTCTATGCCGAGACCACATGCCGACAGCCTACTACCATAATTATGAATTGTGCTATTCCCATGCAGGCTAAATAGCTTAGTATAGATACGTATTTAGAATTTTCCCTCTCAAAATCCTTAACTGACCTTACTAAGAATCTAAACAAGACTAGTCCTGCACTATGCAGGTCATCGATACGTGTAATCGGTCATATATTGATATATGTCAATAAACCTAATCTATACGAGCTCTCTAAACTTGATTATTTTCCTGGTTTACTTAAAACGATGACAACACACTAACATACTTTCATATCAACGAGGCTATCATAACGTAAATATCGCAAAAAAATATCACCAATAAAATACACTCACCGCCTGTCGAACTATATTCCCCGATGTATCGTTTCGTTAAATAACGAACCACCACAGCTGGAACAAGAAAAAACAATTTGAGTATCATAAAATTCATTTAATATCGTTATTCACTGAAAATCAAAATAAGAATCAAAATAACTGTCAACTTTTAATAATCTAATCTAATTTTTGTTACCTCAATCAATAACTTATTATTGATGAATTTCTTTCAACATTTCATCCCGCTGTAATAGCTTAGTAGATAATAGATTTTAGAGACAATATTGCCGTCTACTACTTTAAATTTAAGTAAAACATACTTTCTCCCCGTTTTTGGGGAAAGAAAGTAACAACTTTCCGAACAGTTGTTGTTTAAAAATCATTAATCATCGGCATAATATATTATCAAAACCAAAAAATATGCTACCTGACACTATCTACTGAGTGTAAATATATAGAGAAAAAAAGTGGCTTATGTGCTTTTCTATATTAAATATGTATACAGAAGAAACTAGAATTTTACATGCAATTACGATACATGCAAAATCCTAAATTCTTTACGATTGGTGAAGCTGTTTTGGCAGCATATAAACGTATTCTTTGTTTTGTACCAGATGTCATATTCAATCAATGTTCATTTAACATTAAAGATGGAGACAGGTTGCGGTTGCGGGTTATCCAAGAATCAGCAAAGTAAAAAGAAGCTCAAATAAAGAAAAAAATATATAAAGAATAATAAATGAAAGTTTTTGAAATGCAACAACGAAAACAAAACTATGTGCTACATAAGTGGTATAGTGGATCGGTACATAATTAATTTACCTAGTAGCCATACATTGTAGCCGTTTCGATAATCCATAACCTATAGCTATAAAATATAATCATATAGAAAGCTACGGATTACACTATAGTTTACGTTTTATCTAGCTCGATAAAAGACATCTGAGCAAATGAAATACAAGTTGGTAACACAGAGAAAGCAGCAATTAGCAACTAATCGGTAAGAGGTGTTACAAAAGTTGTATCCCTGAATGAATTTATAACTACAAGCCTCAATTAGAGGGAAAGCAGACAAAAGGGCCACAGATATATTAACAGTAATGGTTGAATCGTAATCAATGTCCAATTAAACACTAGACGATGGATACGCAATAAAACTTTATTTTTGATGAACACCAACTTTTTTTTATGTTGTCTAATCAAAGCATTTTAAAATTATTAAAGTTTATTATTATTTAGATTCGAATGTTTCGTAAAATATGATCTATTCCTACTTAAGGCAATTATCAACTGTCAGTGTTGACAGTAACAACCCATCAGTATCATATATAGGATACCAATAAACAATCTTCAAAATGTAACACAATAATTACAGTACAGAATGAATTCAAAATATAACTCACTAACCCACCTGGGTTTAAGTTCTATTCATCATCATCATATCAGTCGTTAACTGTCTATATATGTCTATGTATATAAGCCTTCCCTATAAAAAGTGGGGGGGGGGGGGGGGGTTGCCAGTAGTTGCCGCGCTTGGCAGGGATGTTTTATTTATTATGAAAGTAACTGAGATCATTGTAAGTATCCTTGTACCTACTACATAGCATGATAGTGACGTAGTCAATATTATAACTCATACCCTAAAGAAATAAAATGAGTGAATATATAACTACGCATAGCTCTGCTAGTTCTGTATGAACATAAAGTAATTTAATATTTTGCTCGTAACTTCATTTACATGAAACCAACATTACTATAATAATAATCATAACATTCAAACATTTTTATAGTCTAACTTTTTACAAAGATTCACCTAGAACCACTATTATTTATTTATTATCTATCGATAAATAAAATTGTGCATTTTATATAATACGTGTCAAAACTTATCATTATAACCAATATTATGTAAGCAATATTGTATTTTGACAGCTAATTACAAAAACCATGAAATATTATATTCTACGGTGTAATTAAAAGACGAAAGCGAATGATTAATTCCATGTGAAAAATCAAAAACAAGCAATGAAAGTATTTAATAACTGTTAAATCTTGTTTTGCTTTTCTATTTTTCTGTTACGTAGGAAACTTTAATTATAAACAATTTCATTGGCGATTTATATTTTACAATAATATCTTGTTAGTTAAAATAATTAACTGTAAGCAACACTGTTAGAATTAGAAGCCTGTAAATTGTTTCACAACCGAAACACTACCGACAAATGTCGTGTCACCGTTTTAAAATGTATTTCTTGTCAAAGCTATTGTCGTAACGAAGTGGATAAGATCAATTACTTTATAGTGGTCATAAATCTTGAAATAGTGTTCTCGATTTAATTAGCAATTGTTCTAAAGTACTATTTGGTACTTAAACGAATAAACACAACAACTATTGTAGTTGATTTGTTTTTCTACTTAATCACACAAAAGTTTTACTAACTTAAGATTTATAGAATTATATCATTCGTATAAATTTCTAAAAATAGATATTTCATATAAGACTCTGACATCGCTATATCCAAAGCTTATCCAGACATGGCGTAAATCTCCCATATTTGCAGCGATGCAATCAAATACCAAACGAAATATATTATGTTATCTGACATTAACCGTCGAAAAGTCGTGTTGGAATTTCCAACTAAACTCTGTTAGTTCCAATGGCCTGTCAAAGAAATATAGCTGATCATAAAGCAGTGAATAGTTCGTGAAATGATATCTTTACGTCGCATCTCATCAGCTTTGCCATTTTATTGTAGTTCGCCTGATCTGCTGGCGTGGAAAATATGAGTTCATGGCAAGCCGATAAACATGTCATTTCATCAAATTTATTATCGAGCTTCTGCTTTACGGCCATCTCCCTACATAATAGAATGTCTATGTGTTCAGAACGAGTTTGGTGTTTGATTTAAAGTTTCGCCTAAGGTCAGGGGTGTATTGATGTTTTCACAGACGGTAATTCAATGGACCAGTACAAAACAATCGATGTGTGTTAATTGCAATTTTGCGGTTATCTATCGAGGCTGTCGCACTTTCCTTTTATGGCTCGGCTCGTTACCTGATCATTACTGCCAGAAACTTGGCCATGCTACAGACAAGTCCTGCTAAGACTGAACTTGTTTACGCCTATATTTGTTTACTTTAATCTATTTATTTCTAAACACACTTAATGTGTTATTAAAGTACAATCAGAAATATTATATGATGTGCCATGAAAATAATGATATGATTCAATACAATAAAATTCGATATAATAAAACAGTTCAACATAAATACTATATTGTAATCTAAAATTTCTGAAGGCAATATTAAAATTAAATACTTGAATTACTCGTAAAATATTGCAGCATCGGAAAACTCATATCCTTATCAAAACATGCTAAATAAACACGCGACTCAATTCAAACACCAATTACACTAACGAGAACTTTCACTGCTGCTGATACTGACAGTTCAAGGTAATCCACTAAAACACTCTCGATCCCGACGGATAATATGTATTAGTTATACAAATAAATCTAGGTTGAACGATGTTGTAACAAAAGTACAGCACTTCCTCGAACTAACTGCCTACTAAATACATAGTGAATTCTGTTTGGCAAGATACAAAGAAAATGAATAAACATACATAATGCAACATTGTAAACTTATATATTACTATTGTACTGAATATATTAATGTCTAAAAGTACGTTACAGCTTAAGTAACTAGTATATCTTCCTTATTGTACACAGAAAAACCTTTTACGTCTTCATTAGCTAAAGAAACAGTTAACAAGTTAAAACCAGCAATATCACCGGTAAAATCTTGTGAGGTATCGGAACTCGAATGTATAATAAAATTCAGTTCCAGAACGAACCGTAACGAGAACTATAACGGGATGTAAGGAAAGAGAATTAAATCAACGGTTCGTCCAATGAGCATGGTAGCAAAAGCTAAATGTTAATTAAAAGCATCGGCCGAAACGATCGAAGACACGACGCTAGCACCTTGGTCTTATTCGATGCTTGTTGTTCTTCCATGCTTAATTGGATGTTAACTTTATATTTTTACTGTCTTTTCATTTCATAAATTCAATATAATTGAATGTATAACTTTTTCTGTCTCTCATTTAATTAGCGTTCACAATTTTATTACACTCTATATTAAAAACTTTATCAAAATGTATACTAACATCGACAACATTTCAAAGGATTCTCTCTATCATACTTTCACTTGTTAATACGTATTGACAGATCTAAATGTTAATTCGCATTTCACCGCAGCAATTGTAACTTTTGGCAGGTGACATGTTTTTAAGCAAAGTTCGACTTTGCATGACCCAAAAATCTACAAAATCTTATAACACATGGTGATTATCTAGATTTTTAGGTCAATTTACATTAAACGAAAGGTGTGAATTTACTATCATTTTCTAGCCCATTACTGATGTGTAAGTAACACATATTAAGTGTAAAATCTGAACATTAAAATACATATACGTTAGTAAATGATACTTATCATACGAGTATTTGGTTGTTTTTTTGTTTTTGTAATGTTTATATTTCCATAGGTAGGTAGGAACAAAACATGAAACAAAAAAGTCAGTTAATAAAAAAGAATATTTAATTCTATAAATTATAACCACAGTATACGAAACTAGTATAATCATTTAGTAGCCAAAAACTTTTTTACAGTCTATCTTCACGTTTACTTTATTTCTAATTTTTTGTACCATACAGTTCATCTTCAGTAATGGACGTAAGCAAACATTTATTTCCAACTATATTTACTACTCATCCGATAGCTATTTGAGTGTGAGTCGTAAGATTGAATAATTCGGTAGCTTATGCGTGAGTAAGATCAGCGTGGAAAGGCGGGTGTCCCGGCAGACGATTGACCGAGTGACTCACTACACGGCGGCATGCGGAGTGGCCGCGCGCGCACTCTATAAATACAACTGCAGTTGACATTTACTCGTTCTCAATCTATGATACTAAAACTAAATTTCATCTAATAATATTAAACAAAGAAATGTTCATTATAAAATACATTTTAAGTTTTCATAACGATCTTTAATTTTCATGACAATGATACAC